TTCTACAGTTCTCTGGTGGTGCATCCTCCATCTTGCAGGCTGACTCTGTGTACCCTCAACTCCAATGCAGGACCCAGTATTTTAAAGTCCCTGACCTGGGTGTGTCCTTATGTCAAGAGTATGAGAGAGGCTCCATACAGCAACTACTCCTACCTTTTGTCGATTATACTGTCCTGGTGTCGCTGTAAACACAATTCCGTAATAGTTCTTCCCACCTCATTCTGCTGTGCATTGTTTCTGCAGAGGGGTGCAATAATGATCTGTCATTCAGGGTTCTATTGTCACTTGTTTTGAGTGTGTGAAGGAGGCAAGTTCATTCTGCTGCCACCTTGCCCAGTTCCCCCAAAGCTGCTATTTTTGTGTCTTTTCTTAAAAAGATTTATTTTATTTATTTAAGCAGAAAAGAACTGGGTGTGGACCAGAGTTGCTTCAGTGGTGGGAGGTGATGGAGTGGGGAGCAGATCTACTGAAATACACTGCTGAGGGGCGCAGCAGGCCAGACAGGAGAGGTCTGCTGTGGCATGTGGGTCAGCATCCTTGCCGGGTATTAAACGTGTGGCTGCAGATTGCTTCATAATGCTGAGAGTGAACCCCTTGTGACACCAGGGAGGCCCTAATTTATCATTTTAAGACTTGCTTTCTATATTGTCATACCTAACAAAACCTTGCCTACGCTAAGTTACCAATATTCTCTCCAATATTTTCTTCCGGCAGATTTATTGTTTCAGCTTTTGTGTTGAAAACAGTGTGTTTTGCAGTAAGACTCTGATCATCTCTGATTAACTTCTGTGTATGGGGTGATATAGAGGCTATCTGGTTTTTCCTTTATGTAGATCTCCAGTTATTTCAACATCATCCGTTCAAAAGATTTTCCTTGTTCTCACTGAATTATTGTTGTCCAAAAAAATGATTTGACAATAATAGTGTGAGCTTATTTTTGACTCTCTATTCTGTTCCATTGATCTAAGAACAGTACCATAATATTTTCATTACCACAGCTTAGAGTGACCATTCAGTTCAGACACTCTAAGTATTCCAACTATGCTTCTCTCTTTTTTCCTTGGGATAATAGTATGCATTTACATATAAACTTTGGAATCAGTGTATTTTTACCACAAAAAAGGTCTAGTGCAATTATTATTGAGATTGATTGAGCCCATAAGTCCATTTGGCGGGGAATTAACATTTTAACAATGATATAGTATAATTCCATGTAGATAGATTTTTCCATTTCTTGCAGTAATGTTTTATAGTTTTAGTTTAGTGTATTTTGTTTTTACTCTAAGGGTTTTATTTTTACGATTTATTTATTTATGTATACAGAACTGGGGTACAGGCCAGAGATGCGGAGCGTGAGATGATTCACCAGAGACAGGGAGGGGAGCAGAACAGGCAGATCGACTAAGTACACTGCTGAGGGGAGCAGTGGGCGGGTCAGGAGAGGTCTGCCATGTGGTCACCTCTGGGGCAGACAGGGATAGAACTCAGGTGGAAGTGGCTTTAGCTTCTTAGTGCTGTGTTTTAACCTGCTGCGCCACCAGGGAAGGCCTCAACAGGAAAAGTTTTTAATGTTAATAAAGGCCAATTTAGTTCTTTTATGATCCATACTTTTTGTATCCTATATGAGAACTCTTTGAGTAATACATTAGTTCTCAATTTGGGGCTCTTTTCTCCCTAGGGGACATTTGACGGCAACTGGTTATGATTTTGGTCATCATAATTTACAGTTGGTATTGCCTGGGGTGGTGATAAATGTCCTATATAGCATGGAACAGCCCTCATAGGAGAGATTTGCTCTTATGCTTTCCTGTAGAAGTTTTAGAGTATTAGTGTCATTGTACACTTTTAGTTAATTATTATATATCATGTGAAGAGTCGAGGTTTTTTAAAAAAAATTTTTATACCTACATATGCAGTTACTATGACACCAGTTCTTGAAAAACTATCCTCATTGAATTTGCTTGATACCTTTATTGAAAATTATGTGTATGAGGATCTATTATATTTCAGGTTCTTTATTTTGCTTCTTTGATCTTTATGTGTCTCTTTAGAGCAGACTACTGCAGAATTACAAAACTTGTCAGTTATTCTAATTGCTAAAATTAGGTAATAAAAACATGTTCTCTTACCCAAAATGGTTTTGGTTATTTTAGATCCTTTGTGTTTTCATTTAAATGTTAGAATCTGCTTTCAGGTTCTGGTATTTTGTTTGGGATTGCACAAAATTTATAGGTTAATTTGGACACACAGGATGCTGTCTTAGCCTGATGCCATATATATTGTCAACAAGTCTTCTGATTTGGGGCTCACTAAACACCACATAGTTTGTATCCTGGGGTAGGATGCAGTGATTAGAAGTGAAGGGTTGGTTCTTTCTGAAGATAATTTTCCCTATAAAATAATAACCAATATTGTGTTGTAGCATCAATTAAAAAAAGATTTATTTATTTATGCATACAAGAACTAGGATACAGGCTAGAGGTACAGGTGTTGTAGGGGGTGAGAGGATCCACCAGAAAAAGAGTGGCGAGCAGAACAGGCAAATTGACTGAAGTACATTGCTGAAGGAGCAGTGGGTGGGTCAGGAGAGGTCTGCTGCACCATGTTGGTCACCTCCCTGGCTAAGGATCAAGCTCATGCTTCATAGATTGAACTTGTGGTGCAGTGGCTGTAGAGGGCTTCATAGTGCTTTGAGTTAACCCCTTGAGCCACCAGGGAAGCCCTACATTTATATTTCTGCAGGTTTAGCAATTTTATTTAAAAAATATTTATTTATGCATACAAGAACTGTACAGGCCAGGGGTGTGCGGTGTTGGGTAGGCTGAGAGAATTCACCAGAGACAGAGTAGGGAGAAGAATAGGCAGATCTACAAAAGTACACTGTTGAGGGGAGCAGTGGGCAAGACAGGAGAGGTCTGCTGTACCATGTGGGTCACCTCGCTGGCTCAGATCAAATTGATGTAGTAGCTGTGGATAGCTTCAAAGTGCTGTGCTTTAACCTCTTGTATCACCATGGAGTCCTTGCCTATGCAATTTTAATAGATACTTTCACAGATGATTAATTCTTTCATATGTGAAATGCTATTTTAATCTCCTATTTTCCTACTCTGCCCTACCAACATTAATTGTTTATGATTTTTCCTGAACTGTTGGGCAGGGAGGGCTGAATAAGTTTTGAAAAACAGAAGTAAGAGAAATGCAATTCCTATTATCAGTGTGAGTAGTTGCTGATAAGTTTTCACAGATCAAAGGTTTATAGACAGTAATAAAGCCATGTCCATGATTTGGTGATGAGAAAGAAGGTGACGTTCTTTGAGGGCTTTATGTCTTGCTTCTACAATTTAGTGGGTCATATTTTGAATCAAATGAAAAGGAAGGAAAGGAAGGGGTTGGTGTTGGGATATGTGTATAAAGAATCATACTGGTTGATAAAACTGAGGAGAATGACTTTCAGTTAAATTATCTGAGTGCTAAAATTAGGGAAATTAGTTCTTGAATCCCAAGTCTAGATGGAAGACATTAGCTGGGAATCCATGTTTACTACTCATGAGGTATATTCAGGGGTTCATTTGTGAATTTATCCATGCAAGTGGACATGAGCCTGGCACAATTATGGGGACTGTGGATCCTTGCAAGGATGCGTCCTAGCTGGTCCTTGGTTTAACAGAGAAAAACATGTTTACAAAATGAAGCATCACTCATGTATCTCCATTATTTACTACAGCTTCTGGTAGGTGATTGATGCTTGTTGAATATTTGTTGAAGTCATTTATACCATAAGGATAGAACAGATAAAGTTCAAGCTGAATACAGAGGTAGAAACAAGGATTTCAGGCCCTCCCTGGTGCTGTAGTGGGCTAGAACACAGCTCTGCAAGCTGGCTGTAGCCACTTCGGTACAAGTTCGGTCCAGGAGGTGACCCATATGGTGCAGCAGACCTCTCCTGTCTCATCTGCTGCTCCCTCAGCAGTGTACTTCACTGATCTGACTGTTCTGCTCCCCACTCTGTCTCTGGTGAATCCTCTCACTGTCCCTGCACCTCTGGCCTGTACTTCAGTTCTGTATGCATAAATAAATAAATCTTTGAAAAAAAAAAAGAGGATTTCACAGGTGGAGAAAACAGCAAGGGAAAAGACAAAGTTGAGGGAAAACACAGGCTTTGTATAGAAATAGTGACTTTGACTGCAATGTGAGCGACCACAAGACAAGAAGTGAGAAGTAATATTGTAATATTTTGAGAAAGCAGTTTAGGAAGTGTTGAGACAACTATTAATTCAGTTTGTTTGAGAATGCAAGTGTATATTTCATTCATATCCAATCATGATAGTTGAGATGTCTGTTATTGTGGCATGAGATAGGCAATGGGAGGGAGAGTTGAATGGAAAGGCTATTGCAGGAAAACAGAAGAAATCGACAATCAAGCAGATGGATCAAAATTGAATTTGTTATCCAAAAGAAAGAATAGATCCAGGCGGGCTGTCTAGCAATAAGTACCATCTTAGAACATTTTCCACCAAAGCAGAAAGAAAAGGAATTCTCATTTCAACAAAAGTAAACAAGGAAACTGCCATTCCAATGAAAGGGGCGTCACCATCACTTGGGAATTGGTTAGGAAAGCCAACTGACAGACCGCGGCCCAGATCCATTGATTCCCAATGTGCATTTGACACGACGGCCGGGTGCTGACATTCGGAGGAGCCCTGCTCTAACCTACTTACAGTGGATACTTTGCTAAAAAGAATGACTAGCGTGTGCCGCGATTCCTGGCGTCTCTCACCAGATGGCAGCAGACCTATCGCTGACTCCCAGGAGCACCCCCTCATTGTCCCGGGCGGGGGTTAAGCTCTTAGCTGCTCCGGAAGACTCGAGGCTGGCTGGGCGGGGGCGGGGGGCGTATCCAGAGGGAGGGCCGGGTCTGCCCAATAGGCTCTCGCGGGCGGGGGGCGGGGCTCTATTTCTGCGGGTCCACAGTCCGCAGGCGCAACCCGCGCCTGGGGCTCAGTATGTGGCGAGCACCTCTGTGGCGCGCATCGCGCCGGCTCTTTGTGCACGTTGCACAGAGGCGCAACCTTTCAGGAACTGGGAACAGGCCTGCCCCCACCATGTCCTCTCTACTGATCAGTCAGCCTCAGTATGCTTGGCTAAAGGAGCTGGGGCTCCGCGAGGAAAACGAGGGCGTGTATAATGGAAGCTGGGGAGGCCGGGGAGAGGTAATGCGGGCGTCCCGGGCAATCTCTGCCTCCTGGCTCCGCTCCCGGAGGCCGGGCGGGCGTCGCCTAACTCGAATCGCTGCTGCTGGAGGCGATTGGAATGGGTGGGGAGTTCTGAATCTACACGAGAAAATCTTTCTTAGGGTGCCTTAAAGAAGAGCTTTAGATGTTAGGTCCTTGTGTGCTTTAGAGAATGGATGGGCTTTTGAAGCTGGTGGTAAACTTCCCATGAGTACTTAAAATCTTACGGCACGGGCCTGCAAGCTGTCTAGAGAACTGTTGCAGGCATTGGAAATTATCTTAACTTTTGAGTTTGACTGGCTCCTCAGATGTGCTCTGTGCTACAGGTAAAGTTCTACAGTGCAGTTTCTTGTCTTCATTCCTGAAATCGTTTGGAGTTTGCAAGCTGGGACTTGCTAGCGGTCCTAGATTATGTTTTCCGTTGGGATCTGAGCTTCCTGGAGAACCGAGTTTTCAGTATTTCTCTGTGGTTCACATCTTAATTACCATGCCTGGAGCGCAGTTGATGATCAATAAAGTGTTTTGTAGAATTGTGAGGAGAAGGTAATATCAGGGCTGGTGTTTCAGAACTGCATACAAAAGAAAGCTTTTATAAGAAAATGTTATGTAACATTTAAATAAGGAGCCCACTTGGTTTACAAGAAACACCTTTGTGGTTATCTGTGACTGTAGGAGTTGTAGATGGTTTTAATTGTTCCCCAAATCTTACCCCCCCCCTTGCTTAGTTTCATGTGTTTTTATTATGGCATCAGTTCATTGGATTGATGATGGATAAAACCCTATTCTGTTCTTTTTTCTAACTGACCTTAACAGTTTGTGAGTTTGTGAGTATACAGGCCTTTCTCATGGTTGTCTGGCTTTGGCTATCTCGCCTTCTGACTGGAAGGATGGCTGAGTAAGGGAGAGAAAAGAACAGATATAAGGTGTCACTTTAGGCTGTTGTGGATGGAAAAAGAATAAAAATAAAAGGTTATGTTTAGGCTTTTATTTACATACCCAGCATTAAGAAGGCTAGGTTGAGGTTTAGGTAAAAAGGGAAAGACACAGTTCTGTATAGTGACTTATTTATATCAAATTGATTGAATGTGTGAGTTTGGATGCTGTCTGTCTTTTCTTTTTCCAGTTTGGTTTGTTTCCGTTTGGAAAACTGCATTTTCTATATGTGTAACGGTCTTATTTCTGTTTTAAGGTTGTCACGACCTATTGTCCTGCTAACAATGAACCAATAGCAAGAGTTCGACAGGTAAATGTCTTTGAATTCAAAATACAACTTAAAGAACAATAC